AAAGAGGAAGTCCAGGGACACCCTGTATATTGCAAATTCTATTCTAAGGAACAAAAATAAATATTGCAAGCAGTGGTAAAAATATAGCACAAATCACGCATTGGAACTGAGTAGGGAAAAAACATATTTCTTCAGATTGAACTTAAAGATGGCCAAGATATCAATGTCTATAATGTTTGAATTGAAGTTATAACTTTTTAGACAATGATGCACAGGAAAATTCATGATGCCATTTGTATTTGTTGGAGATAGATTAAACAATCGGTATTATCGGATATAATAATGACGGAACAGATAATTCCGCTTTCTGCTTCGATAAGTTTGTTGGGGGTTAAAATTGATACCAATATGTCTTGGCACAATCATGTCACTGGAATTGCAAAGGCTGCTTCTCAAAAGGTTGCAACACTGTTCCGAACCAGAAAACTGTACACACCTCAGCATCTGTTGATGCCTTATAAAGCTCAAATCAGACCTTCTTTGGAGTATTGTTCTCATGTATGGAGCTCCACCTCTAAGCATACCCTGAAGCTGCTGGATTCTATCCAGAAAAGAGCCATCCGCCTGATTGGAGACGCGAACATCACTTGCAACATTGATAGTTTAGAACATCGAAGAAAGGTTGGAGATTTGTCTCTCTTCTATAGATACTTTCATGGGAAGTATTCAAGTGACTTTTGCATTTGATTCCACCAAGAGCGGTACATATCAGAAATACACGATGGACTTCAGCGATTCAAATTCAACTTGAATGGCTACTTTCACACCGGCATCGCTTTTAGAGCGCCTATATGATTTTCCTGTAGTGCTTGTGTTTTGTCCTTAAAACAGAAAAGTTGAAGTGGCATCGATCAAACCATTCAGAAAATTTCAGAGGCAGCGTCAAGAAAATGTGGCATTCATCTCTGGTATTTGTCTGGAGAACTTATTTCTTTATCACTTTTTGATGATAACGTAAACTCAGAAATTAAAAATGAAATTATCGATTCAATGAATCAAAAAGTTAACGAAACTACAAATTTAAAACGTATTTATATAAAAAAAGTTGAGATTTTTCGCATCGAAAAATTCGATAGTTCTATTTGAGCTATTTCACTGAATTTCTATATAACGTAAACTCAGAAATTAAAAATGAAATTATCGATTCAATGAATCAAAAAGTTAACGAAACTACAAATTTAAAACGTATTTATATAAAAAAAATTGAGATTGCTTCCTTCATGACTAATATTTGTACGATTTCGCATCGAAAAATTCGATAGTTCTATTTGAGCTATTTCACTGAATTTCTAAAATTACTTCCAGATCCATGGAAATCTGATAAAGATTATAATAAATGCTTAACAATTTTTTTAAATGTTCGCTTCGTAAATGATGCTGATGAAGGAGGAGTTCAAGTGATGGAATCATATAATCAGAGTTTAACTTATGATGAGGAACAGAAACAATATTTATGTCAAATTGTAGCAGTGTATACAGGGTCTTTATTAAACATGCGGCAAAAATTCAAGGGACTATTCATTGGACTATTCTAAGGATATTTTGTCCTTTGATAATTTTTGATAAGGCGATTTGTTTCGAAGATACGGAGCGAAAAAGAATTTCGACAATAACAATGTATTACCAAAAATTACATGTAATGTTTATTAATCTACAAAAACTGTTGAAAA